ACGTCAATGCGGTAATTTCAGTTTTGACAGCTCTAATGTGAGCATACAATTCGTTCTGTACATTTTCTCTTCGAACATGACATGCTCTTGCTACCGTTTAATTCCAAATGAAGCGCTTCTTATGTTTTCCATACAAATTTTCTATTTAAAGTATAATTCGTGTTATAGCCTCTGAATCGTCGCTTTGTCGCTTCTCCTCTCTTTGAAGACAGACCCTCCATAAAGCCTTGGAATAATACTTGACATATTGAATGACGTTCAGTTTCGCGGTCATTTGGAATGGAAGGGAAGGCTAAATTAGCCTCTAAGAAGCTTAGTGCAAAGGGAGACAGTACTTCACTCCGGGCCACCGCTTGCAACTAAGATACTGCCCGTTTGCCTCCTATTACATTAAAAAAAACAAGTAAAATTAAAAATGAGTCATATAAATTAAAATATATAACATAGATCAATAGCGATAGCTGATCAAACAGAACTTCGATCTGCGAAACGAAGTCGGCACGCGCCGCCACGCGTCGGAAAAGCGCGTAATGAGCCCGCACCTGCAGGTCACGTATTAAGGGATTTCTCGCGCCCTCCCGTGGGACCAGGGGCTAGATGTTTACTTATTTACTCAGTAAATATACGCTGTAATAACGGGAAACCAATATTGGCTAGTCATAATACTTATGGGATGTGTAATGAAAAATTTAACCTCTTTACCCTCTTTAACCTTTAACCTCTAACTGACACATTTTTGAAAATGGAATAACCATAAATTTTGCTGTTTGTACTTAGTATATTTTGAGATACGTAAAAGTATAACCAATATAAGACCGTTAATTTGGTCGCAGCGTGATGTTATCAAGAAATGTATAAATTGATTTTTTTCAATTCGAACCAGTAACTCCCGAGATTAGTGCGTTTAATCAAAACCGTTACAATATATTTAATAAATCAAGCTGACGGAATTAAATGCTGTCGACGCTGCCAACAGGATATTGATTTATAAGAACTGATACACAATGCAATCATACCAATTAAAGCGCGAAATTCATGCACGATTGTATTGCATAGTGCATTTACCAAATGAATGGAACAATATCGCTGATCAATCAGGGTGTATCACGTGATGGGAGCGGCACGCGCTCGGCACTCCCACGCCGGGGGTGAATGTAAGCACTCCGCCCTGTCACGCGTCTGATATCACCTTAATTAGAGTGTATTATTAGAAATTGGTCAAACTGAAACGGTCTTAAGTATTCAGCATTGTTAGTACTAATACTGAAATTACATACAACGCGTTCTATTATTACAAAGCGTTACTTTAAAAATGTATTATTTATTTAAAATAGGTCAGCCAACAGATTTGCACTGACATATCTATACACAGGTACTTTCCACTTTAAGTGCAGACCCAATTACAGGCATACACAGCCTGTGCTTATTAAGCCATTAAGCCTTATCCCGGTACCGACTCTCTGCAGCCGAACCTTAAATTCACTGACTCACTTCAACAGCCTCGGCGAGGATGCGTCGGTTTACACCCAGGCCTTGCGCAGTCCAACCCGGAGACCACGAAAAGTCTGTTGTGCTCTTGACACAATTCTATTAGATTTTGGTATAGGGAGACATAGTTCACGCAACGTAAGTCACGCTTTGTTTCGTTTCTGGATCTTACCCTCATTGTTTCTCTGATTCTAGCCTAGGATCTTATACTTGTTATAAGTACAAATCTAATTTCCCTGTTCATTGTTCTCAGTATTTCAATATTATTATATAAGTTTGAGCTCAATAATTGACCGTTAACAGAATTAGTTTGCATAGTCAATTATAATTACATGTGTTTAATGCCAATGTTAATTGAGCAATTATTTAAAGGATAGTACAAACTAGTTTGTTTGGTATAACTTTTTGTTCATAAACATTGAGTAATTGTACTTGTATTAATACTGTCTCGGTTTATTAAAAGCTCCTTTACTAAAATTATGTAACGCTGACAAAGTGGTTTGTTCTTTAAAAATATTTTCACGTTTTCAGTCTCCGTAAGAGTACATATTATATAATTAAAAACAAAAAGGAAATATATAAATAACACACATATATATACGAATAACTACTAATGAGAAATAAGTTATAGATATTTCATAGTAAGAAAATGAAAAAGTGTTGAGGAGAATTTGGAAAAATATATGAATTTTTCATTTAATTCGAACGCTAAAGCTCGAGATTCTTGTCTATATCCATTTTAACATTATATTATATTTTCTTAATGATCTAGTTGATAACGTCTCGAGATTTATGAGTAGATGAAACAGATAACATTTTATTACCAATAAATTGTGACACAAAAGTAATTAATTTAAGTCTTAAACGTGATGTGAAACTATTAGATTTTCACACTAGTCATAATAAACAATTTACACCTGCGAGAACAAATCATTTTTTGTCTGTCACAAAAAACACCGTGTCCTTTCCACATACAAAGGTGTTTTTATATAAAGCTTTTGTCTCTTGACAAAGGTACCTGTCCATTTGAAACAATATCACAACAAATTGCACTGCAAGGTGCTTTCAGACTAATACGTGACAATATATATTTTCTCTTAAATAACTCTGTCAACAATATAATTTCTTAGGTAGCCACAAAAACACGTTATTCATAAACGCACGTTACCTGACCGCTGATTGCGATCGTAAAAACGAACTTCCTGACACGCAAATTACAGACGGAATAAAATAATTTGTGATAAATTATAGTCATAACGTCAAAACTTAATTCAGGTTCTTTATTCAAGATTTTTTTAAATAAACCCAGCTCCGAAAATGATACCGAAAGTAAGAGATTCCATAACCCTAAAATTATATACGTAACAATGACAATGGACAATAAATATTGGTAATGTAGATAACAATGAACAATTACTTCACATAAAAATCATAAAAAACTTTATCATTGCTCAAAATGCAAGTATAGTGACTGAAACTGTCCACATATAAATAAATAATGAAATGGACATTTCTGTTAGATCTTCACATGTTATATTAATTTGTAGATTTTTAATTGTGTGTCTTAGAGATCAAACCCATTGTTCATTTGTTTTATTGTTGAATCAACCACATATCACATTACTAAAAGTATAGATAAATCAATCTTTTACAAGATATACTAAATAGAATTTATGAATCACTCAATTATTAACAATGACATTGATTTATACTTTAAAATGGCTTCTCATTATTAAGAAAACTACATACGTAATAATAAAACAGATTATTATCACGCTTGATTACACAATTTTAGAGCATTACCCAAAATGTTTTCTAATAATCCATTAATTGAGTAGGTGGTATAGCAATTAACGCATTTTAAACCTTCAGCATATACGCCGACTTAATAAAGCAATTCACTACCTGGATCTCACCCACCTCCAAGGTGACTTTTTGCTTATCTTTTTATTTTTGTGTTCGAATGAAACCTCTTTGTGTGGTCGAATTTTTTAGAAACTTCCTAATTAATCAATAATTGTATTCTGTGATCGTTCATCAATACTCTAATTTGATATTACGAAAAGTTTTATTACATTCTTCCAATATTTAGACATTTAGACATAATATTTATTACTAACAAAAACACACACACAAAAATACACCTATTAACAATAATCAAAGAAAAAAAAAATATAAAGAGAGAAAACTATTTTTTCCCTTTTCCCGTAATGTACAAGGTTCGTTTTAAGTGTGTAATGCGTGTGTGCTGTGGTTGTAATTGGCCCTGGCTCAGCATTATGCTGAGGAGCAGACAGATCCACAGTGCTGGTTATTCTGCCAGAGACCACAGCTAGTTGCGCCTCAGTCGCATAAAAAGAAAAATAATGTAATAATACTAATACTTAGTAGGTCTGTATTGTGACCTTGCATAGTATGAATTTTGACACATATTCCATTGAGTTTCCTACTATTCCATAAAACGAGTTGGCCTTGTTTATAAATATGTAGTTATTAACTAAGTCTTTAGTATAAATAATATACATTATTGTTTCAACCTTTTTAACTCTAATACAATATAACTATCAAATAAGAAGAATTTACCTTCCTGTTTTATACATTATTAGCGCATTACCCTAATATGTTATTTATAAGTCACATCGGTACAAGTAATTATTTCTGAAATCCTTCACATAAAGCGGTTGCCTTTTTGAATTTTGTCCACTTAAATATGTGAGTGTGGCCAGTTAAAAGCTCAGCCTCCGTTACCTGTGAGTTGCGACAAGTGGATACCATCACGTAGGGCTATTGTTCCCACACGACCCCCTCTGCCCACCTGATTGTTCGGCCACGTCTTATGTTCAAAATAAATCGCCGTTCGCCTTTGTGTGACTGCTTATGCGTTTTCTAAAATATTATTTATAAGTCTGGTTGGCGTCACGTAACAATTACTTGTGAATTGTAATATCAAAAGAGATATAAAGAAGTTATAAAACTCAACAGCTAGGTACCTACGCCCAACGCGCCGCCAAATTTTAAGAAATATTTTATATAGTAATTATCATCTATTAACAATACAATGATTAAACAGATTTTTATACGAAATCTATTTACTAGAGATTTCATAAGTGTAAGTGTGTTTAGGATATATCTTCTCAGGAACACTAATATTTAAAAGAAGAATAATATGAAAACATAACTCGTAATTTAGGCTTAAACTTAAATTGTGCCAAAAATAATGACAGTGTCTCAAAACAAACTGTTCGTAGGATAAAGTGCGTGTCATGAGCGCAACGGCCTTACCCAGGGCCGCCCAGAGCAAGGCAGACGCCACTGCTGCGCCGCCATGGGAAAATCAGGCTTCGCCGGCCCCTCCGAGTCCCATTGGTCCGCCCGTAGCCGCCCCGCTCCCCACCAACGCCGATAAATACGACGCCGCACCGCGCATCACTTCATTCCTCGCTCGCTATCCGTCAGACGTACGCGTTACGTGTCTCAGTGTTTATAAGTGTACGTGTGCAGTGACAATCACGATGAAAGCCATAACGGCAGTGTGCGCAACTGGAGCGTCAGTACCTGCAATCGCCAGCGGTCGGATTCAACGGCACAGGGATGGAGAGAACGCTGAAATTCAGATGTACCTATCCAAACTTCAAGACCTGGTCCCCTTCATGCCTAAGAACCGACGGATTTCAAAGCTGGAAGTAATTCAACATGTGATCGATTACATTTGTGACTTGCAAACCGCTTTGGAGAACCACCCTGCGGTTGGTCAATTCGAGGCGGAGGCTGCATTAGCGCCTGCGTGTACCTCACCCCCGAAGCCTCGTCGCCGCCCGCTCGGCCCCAGACCAGCCCCAAACACAATTCTTCCCGCTGAGAGATCCCCTGTAACATTAACAACACAACAAATTAGTCATACAGTAAGTTTTATTTATATTTCAATTTAATTTTTGGTTATTTTAATTCTTTTGACCGTAATTAAGTAATGTTTAGGTAAATAGAGGCCTTCTTACATCAAACATCAAAACAAAAACAGATTTATGCGTCGAAAATTGTATAAAGACTTTTTAAATTTCCAACTAGCACAACGCTCGAATAGATGTTGCATAAAAAGTTAATGAAATCGGTCGTGTCGGTGTTTTTGCTGCGCACACCTGCGTATTTCGCAAGCGCCGCGCGGGACGGTAAAAGCGGAGATGCTGATAGTTTCACAACAAAACGTGACGTACATTAACAATTGTTTTAAACGTAATATATCTTATTGTACGCTAATAGGACCCGTAATTAGGTAAGTGCGATAATTCAATCGCTTAAAGCGTTTAGAGTAATTTTATGCCAGCAAATAGCTGCAATGCTTGCAATGCAAAGCTTTATAATCAATCTGTATATAATTTATGAATCTCTTAGTGTTGAAAAGTCAATAACTTCAGAATCCGTTTTGATGTAATAACTGCAAGGTAGGTAAACAAGAAGTCAATCTAGTCCGCTATCCGCGTGCGTGACTGTTTTGAATTTCAGCCTTGAAATGAGCCACCTGCGCCGGCGCCGCGTAAACGACCGTGTACTGACACAATCTGAATATTCAACACGTATTTATTCTACTTGGTTTGCCATTCCGCACTACACCTGCGTGATTGCCATTTCGCTAGTTTTCCTAATTACCTCGTCTCGCCGTTTTGGATCACACTAACGACTCTACATCTACTAATCATTATGGCACCGTCGTCCGATAATGACATTCAGTAAATCACTCATTGCTTTAGCTCTAGAATGACTCAGTTGTTAAAGCAATAAACGTTCTTTTAATATCTAAAATGCAGCGCAATGAGATTGCTATGTCGCGGTCGATGTCTGAGCAGGTGCATATCGAAGGATTTATATGTACGGCTCGCTACAAGCCCCCGGCGCAATGCGTGCTCGTTAATACTTGGTCGCGCCACGTAAATTTTAATCACTGCCAGTTGCTGGTAATGTTCAAAACAAACGTGATTTAGGAGACACAAGCTGCCGCGCAGAATCTAAGAAGAAAGTACACAACGTTCACATTTGTCTGAGTAAAATTTACAACTCATCATCTATACCTACTCTATTTTTGACGTGACAACGTCTTATAATTCGATGGAGCCGGCTGCACGCACGAAAAACATGACTCATGCGGCGTTACCTCGCTCTGAGGCGTTACCTCGCTCTGAGGCGTTACCTCTCTCTGAGGCGTTACCTCGCTCTGAGGCGTTACATTTAAAATTGACATAATTGTATTTATGCGTACAAATAAATGTAACTTGATCAATTCAATTGTGATTTCCATTTACCTCCTTCTCTATATCCATACAAAATACCTATCAAACAAATAAAATTTTTTTTTTTTTTTTTGAAAAATGCAACCATCCCATCAATATTTTTTTATGACGTTGTCACGTTCAACTATCGTCAGTAAACCGACTTTTACAGACAACCGATTTTTAATTTGGCTGTAGGCTTAATTATTAAAAACAGTACTGTATATGTAATGACTATATTTTACTTTAAAATAATCGACGGCATAGTAACGATACCGCCGCAGGCGCCGGCATCGCGCACGGCGCTCTATTTCATCGAACCCGATATTTACTAATACAACGGCTCAAGGAACTATCGGAATGTCGACTGATCTAACCACATTCTTGAATATAAAATCAAACTCACAAGGACATCGAACACGGTTCGATTTCTCTGTATCGCGATGAACGACGTAGCAAGCGGACGGGTGAAGTAAAAAAACATAAAAAACGAAGCATAAATCGTGTCGGAATTTAAAGTAACGTCGTAGTCGTGATGTGGCATTTCACGACGATATCTCTGAAGGCATCTCTGGGCCACAAACCGCGGTCACGATCACACACCACGGGGCACTATCGCAAAACAAGCCCGTAAATTGTTCCCCGCAGCTGCCTCACGACCGTGGGACTTTGCAAACAAGTTAATCGCAACTTAAAATTTCATGTATCTCCTTTGTAACAGTTCAAATTTCAGATATTATGTACAATTACTCAATTTACCCTTTCACGACTGTAAATGCCAATACAAACGTGCACAACCAAATTGACTTTTCGCTCCGATAATAATAAGCAGTTAAGTACCAATAATAATGAATGCTAGGCGTGTAATCCGGCGCAACACACCCTTTATACCACACAATGCTTGCCACCCCATTCGGTTAACATAACCTATAATTTAAGGACACTATTTTTATTCGCATTTTATACATTTTGCTCTGTCAGCGCCTTATAATCATGTTGCTGTAGATAATGCATTAAAATATATAAAAGATATTGGATCATTAAAGATTTCTTAATACTCTTGGTATAGTAATGCCTTACAAATAGGTTTGAAGGCACTGGCCACCTCCCACGCACCGCGTCTCAGCAACGATCAAGACAAGCAACGCTAACGCCAGGTGTCCACGCCCACGCTCGCCGCTTACTCGCTCCTCTGAATAATATCTTTGTCTCCTAACCTCACGCATAAATCGCGCACGTGAAAGTTTTACGATCACCTTTATGTTTCTCCGAACGCATAAACTTAAGAAGTCTCCGAGTAGACAATGCAACACGGCGAAATGGGTTTGCACGTGCATCAATTTCTCCGATCACGGATTCCATCGACACGATCGATCGAGGGCATTGTGCGGGTAACGGTCTCATCACAGCTGCGTGTGACTACACGTGACGGCGCCCGCCGGTGGCGGATAGCTAAATAAATGCAATGTACCTATTCATTATCCGACAATGCTCCTCTCATAAAAGGATTTCACGTGTTCACTCGCGAAGTCCCGATCGGGACATGTGTGCTCTCCCTTCAGTATGTCCGTAAATAGGGTTTGCCCACGTGCAGCGGTTGCTCAGCTGTGCCGCGGATGTGCAGAGACGGGAAACGGTAATCAAACACTTACCAGTCCTGATATGTGTACTGGTCACAGCGCTTCTGATTACTAACAAACCGTATCAAGTATTTTTACACCAATTTATAACATGTGTCCTCGGCACGGCATGTGTCAATTGAATCAAATTGGGGTAGCATAGGCTTATTGACCGGACACTAATGAATTAAAACAGTGTTGAAACACAGCACATATGCGCTGACAGATGGCCGGACGCAGGCGGGATGTGCATAGGCCACCCGATACACTCGCAATACTCAATCAGTAATAACGTTAATTGATCATAATTAATATAGGGGCTCATCTTTATAATTTACCTACTTCTGTATGATACTTATATAACTTTTCTTTTGTTACAGACTCCAGACAAACAAGAGCAGTTGGACAGGCCGTCGTGCTAAGTTAGATTAAGAACAATTAATTTATGAAGATGAAAATATTATATCTCGAAGTGCATGCACTTCGGAGGCGCGGTTCGATAGGCCCAATCCTACGCCGTCAACCTCAAGTATCAGTTCCAGTGAAAATCATCTATCTCATGATGATATCCTAAGTTCGATCTCGTTTTGATCAATAAATAATTACTTAATTTCGTGGCATTATGCAGAAAACTAGAAGACTTTAGTATTGCAATGCAAAAATCACCGCCAACACATCTGCGAGGTGGCGATTTGTTTTGTTATAATGTTTATGTAAAAAGCTTTACTAGTTACTAATCTAGGCGATGTTTGTGAACACATTTGTAAATAATGTTATGTTGAGTCGTTCACGGCATTTGTATTAAGTCACTTTCATATTGGAAATCAGAAACAGCACGATAAATTCGTACAAATTCTTGTCTATAGCGTAAAATTTTCAGCTTATTTTCTTATTCTTAAGTTTAAACGATGCTTCCATTTATATCAAAGATGTAAATCGATTTTAAGTTGATTTACCTATATTATTTTATTTTAAGTTAAAATTTTGAGTGTGATTTTGCATGGCAACTTCGTTGCTACATAGAATATGGGTTTATTGGTTTGAGTACATGACGCGATAATCTATCCTTAATTTATAAATATATGCGTGATGTACATAACTAATATGTAAATAGTATCAAATTAAAAATATATTAAACATTTAGCAGAAATTATAAAGATTGGAGACCTTTTTATGATTTATTGACTAAGGTGAAAATGCTTTAATTATCTTAAATGGTGTATTATGATTTAGACTGTTGTAGTTTTAGTTATCGTGGGATATGTTTGCTAGTGGTCAAATATATTGTTAAAATATAGATATTGGGAATGGCACTCATTCTTATATCACATTGGTTATATTTCTCAATGTGTAATAGTTTTATAGTAATGAGTGTCAGTTCATTCAAGAGCCAGTAATATTTGGCAGCTAATATCGTAATCCTGTCACAAATTGTTATTACAGTTCTTCGATTTCCATGTTTCCTTTTAAATTTCGCACTGATTTTGTATAATCTACATGAACAGAAAAATATAAAATATTACAATATAGCAAATCGTTTTTCTTTCCACACTTTTAAAATAAGACTAAAATGAAGTTAAAGAAGAAAAGTTATATTAAATCGCAGGTGCTTTAAAAACTACATAAAATGAAGTCTTCATAAATATGACGAATTTAAATATGAATTTTTATGGCATTTTTTATATGACTAGTCACATTTTGAATACAGTAAACATTTTATAAATAACTAGCCGTTTCCCGCCCGCTTTGCTGGGCGAATTAAAATAGGAAATAAATAAAATTTTATGTTTCATTATTATTATTTTTTTTCATATTTTTATTATTCTTCTTTTTAACTTCCCGCTAAGAAAATTGAAAATTTTCGAAAATCGAGTTTTTAACAGATGTTGACGTTTTGAGGTTCTAGGAAGCCTCCCCGAATGTTTCCGCGGTGAAGTCCGTATGTATAAATTTTCATAAAAGTAAAACAGCAATAGAAAAATGAAAGAACGTTGGAATTTAAAAAATAAATAGCCATAAACCATCTAGGAAAAATTTCGCATCGAATGGCAGTAGTTTCATACGATCAGTGGTTTAAGCGTGAAGGAGCCTCAAACGAAGACCATTTTTCTTATATATATATTATATATAGACTAAGAAAGGAAATATCCGTATCACAACCACATAAAACATTTATCTGACAATGAAATTTAAGATAAAATTTTGTATTTGATATACAGTTGTTGTTGAATAACAACATTTCCCCTTATTTTTTATCTGCGTATGCTTTTAATTTTTACTATAATAATTAATAACTTTAACTTACCGTTTAATGCTTTTGAATATTTTATTTTTTCTTGCCAGTTACGAATAGTATTCATTTAGGAATTTATAATAACAGATCAGTGTATTTGTCTACACTAATATTACAAAGAAAAGATTTTTTACGTTTGTACCAAAACTGACTATAAAAATTCTTTCAGTATCCTTTAGTATCATCATCCTTTTATTTATTTTAAAATTCCAGGGGTTCGATGGGTGACAGGCCGCTAGTATATGTTTAACTTCAAGAATATTGAAAAACGTTTAAATCTAGTCAAGTAGACATAAACGGATGCAAAGATCACGCGATTGCATCACAGCCAATTATCGCGACTACAATATTTGGTCAGCTGCGTGCTAAACATTCAACATTATTTAAACACCATTCAAAAATCAACCTTCGTCATTGACAATAAAGCTTAAAGTCCTATGAAAACGTATTTTGTATATAACGAGGAAAATTGAGCTGTAGTAGTAAGAAATAGAGAATATTTTTCGTTGGTTTACAAACTACGAAATTATAAGCGTTTGCTAAACATTAGCTCAATGTCGTCAGCGTTAAACAATACGGTTAATTGCTATTGTAAGGTAGGTGAATTGAGGTAAATAAAAAAAGAACACGCGACCCTGCCAGGATTCGAACCTGGAATCTTCTGATCCGTAGTCAGACGCGTTATCCGTTGCGCCACAGGGCCGATATTTAACGCGTTGAAAATTGACTTTAAATTCTGGATCTATTTAAAAATAAACTTCGTATTACATACTTTACATTTTTTGTGTTAAGTATTTCACGTAACGTTTTTTACTATAATTTGTTGTAAAAACTATAGAAGTGTTCAGTTGCCAGCTCAATTTTGACAATAGAAATATTTCATACTTAATTTTAGTATAAAATATAGTAAAAATCACGTTTTTATTACAGGTGATAGTGTCGCTGATAAGAGATTTATATTTGTTGTAACATATTATTGGTATACATTGACTGTCTACGGGAAAACGATATTATACAATTTGAATCATGCTTTTTGTGTGATTACTTAATACTGAGCATAATGTTTGTGAAACGAAAACCTTACTTAAGTTTATATAGTTTGATTCCCAAGGAAATTGGGTTAATATACACAGTTTTTTTATTTCTGAGATTTCCTCCGTATTTCTATATACTCAAAATACAGTCAGTAGAAGGGGGAGTCCCTTGGAGGGCCTGGAAGACATCTCTTATTTGTTGGATTAAATTTTTTTTATTACTGTGCTTTTATCACTTAGTTGGAAATTTAGTTATTATAATAAATAAAAAAATGCATATGTAACGTGTTAAATTCGGAAAATAGCACCTGTATGACTTGATTATTATAATGGTCGGAACTCTTGCCCGGATCTCGGCAAAGATTGTTATTATTAGCTTGATAGATGTCCACTTATTTAATTTTTTCTAAGAAGTTGAAATATTATATTGTTGTGTATTTTATATATTTGAGCTTGCTATTTAAATAGGCTGATGTAAGTTGAAAGCAGTGCTGACCTAGTGGATTATGCGTGAACCCTATCCCAGAGGTCGTGCGTTCGAATCACGTCTATGCACCAATGGAATTTTCTTCTATATGCGCGATTAGGACGGTGTAGTCAAATATTGTGAAGAAAGCGGGATGTCTTAAACCCATATATCGATGACATGTGTCTAGACACAGAAGGCTAATCGCCCACTACTTGTCTATAAAATAAAAAAAATATTGAAGAAACGGATGCAATCTGAGGCCAAGACTCATTTAAGGTTGTAGCGCCACTGGATTATTATTATGATTTAAGTTGTGCTTTCGAAATTGTGTATCATACACAGAGCAAATGAAAGATATTTATTTTTTTAAAACAGACCTTTGATACCTCGGCTTGTTCTCAGTGTATAATAAAATTGCGTTTCACTAAACATCGCTAGAATTTTACAATTTTAATTAGAAGCTTACAAAAGCTAGTAAGATACATTGTTACAACTTCCTCGTTGTCTATGGATCCGAAACTAAAACCCATTACATTAGTTTTAAAATGTGTGTTGTGTTGAAAGTGTTGACTGAGGAGACGATGGAATTTTTATTTATAGCTTCTATGTAAAGTTATCTAGGTACTAAATATCGCAGCGCAATTGAACAACATTTTATAAGTTTCTCAAGATCATTGCACTATTTTCTTACGTAAGTAATCTCAATGCTTGCTACAAAAATACTTTCAGCAAGTGTGACCAGCTATAATATAAAATTGGGAAAGACACAATCTTGCGTGGTCATCTATTTCCATACTAATTCAACTGCAATCCGTCTAGTGTTTTGTTTCTAGTAGTCTTACGTAAAAACAAACGAAGGCCACAAAGAACTCCGTTATTATTATCACAAGCGGATCGAATCGAGTGCGTTGGTTTTATCGTCTCGATAAGGCAAATACGATTGCACAGGTGTACCCGCACCGGCTGTCGACCTTAGAACTTCTCAGAATAACGTAATCAGTACAATTCTATAAACTTTACGTAACTTTTATAATTAGGCATGTGTAATGCTGATAATAGTATATTGTGAAGCCATTTCATAGATTAAAATCCCGAAACGCCTCAATAGTATTAGGTGTAGTCATAAATATGTTGTTTCTTTCGTAATGTTTTAGTTATGGTGATCGGTTTTGATTACCATTATATCTCCTTGGGTTATAAACCATGTGCGTTACTTAACCAGGTTTAACAGTATTGCAATATATGATGGGCGAATTACTTTTAATACAAAAGAATTCTACATGCCCCTTAGTGATATATCTAAGGTGATGGTGAAATAATAGTTGAAAATGCAATTTCTAGCATTTAAAAAATAATAATAAAAACTTTATTCATGACAAATAGGTAGTGACAAAATTCTTTTATCGCTAGTCCTCACGCTAGGGATGTTGTGGGTAACTAGATAACAATTAATCAGTAGTACATGGTACATGTTTAAAACGGTTTGTTTAGAAAAAGTAGGTTTATTCATTTCAAACAAACAAAAAATCAATCTTTATAATATTAGTATAGAAAAAACTACTTTTGTAAATTTCTTTCTAATAAAGAAATTTCCAAAAGTAATTTTTTTTCTTGAAGTTTAAAAATGATTTCATCATTCTTTCTCTTCTCATTCAGATGTTGCACTCGCAACTCAAAAATTTCTTTCTCATATTTCCTACAACTTTTAAACAATTCCAATCTTTCTGTGGATATTTGAGTCTCACGACTGGGCACATTTGATAGCCTGCATTTTTTAGGCACTTTTAAATTCCTCGTCATCGGAGTGCGAAGAAAACAGGCTGGTGATTTTGTGTTGAATACCTAATAATAAAATATTGATTTTAATCATAATAACTATTATTCGATCATTCAAAAACACATATACATACCTCTTTTTGGATATTTGAAGAATCACAGTTTTCTTTCATTGTCTCTATCTAAAATCAAAATCAAAACTACATTATTGTAAGCATAGACATATACTTTTCTAGCTTATTACAATTATTTTTTTTTATAAAATGACAATGAACAGTAAGTTAACATCAATGTTAATGATCTACTAGTATAAATTTATTCATACCTCTTTTTGGTCAACAACAGGTTTTTCACTAGCCATCTCTATATTTGACTCAACCTAAAATTAAAAATAGAATAGAATAAAATAGAATAGAATAAAATATAAATAAGCAGTGTAATAAAATATTCTTACCAATTCAGAATCATCATCAACTGTACTAGCCAGTCCATCCATTGAAACTGGCATCACAGTCCTCAACCAGTCAGTGTCTGCATCAGTAGGAGGTGGAGGTGGACCACCCCCCGTTTTAAAACGCTCTTGTCTTTGTTTGCTTGCATCCTTAAAATCAATAGGTACTTCATAGTAAAAACTTATTCATTATGTATGCTATAAAATATCTGTCAACTTGTTCTGGAAAATTTTAGGAACATACTTTACGAGCATTCCGCTTCATGTTGTCAAATTTGGCTTGCAACTGTTTAATTGTTCTAGGGTTATTTGACAGGGCATTGAATTCTGCATGAATCGCACTCCATGCCTTCTTTTTTGCAAGTTGTTTGAATTGTCTGTTTTTTTATTAAATAAAATATGGTGATATTTTTCTATTAAATTTTTAAATCGGTCCTTCTCTTCTTTGCCAAAATTTACCGAACGTTCTCTGAAAGTCAATGAGTCACGTGAATAAATACACTTCTAAGTTCTAACTATATCTCTCAATATAATATATATACTTTGCGCATATACAATTCATGCAATATAATAATAAAATTATAGCTTTATACTTACTTTGGTGAAAAGGTTTCCATTATTTATATTAAAATTAAACGCTTTTTAAAATTAGTCTCGTATAAAACAATAAACATTCGATGTCAAACTTGACAGAATGTTTCAAATGACATTGTTTTTATCAATGTTGTTATTACTAAAAAAAAATCCCATAAAACATTAGGTCAAAATAGCGTTACGTAAACAGGCAACCCCATTGACAATGACGAACTCATTTTTTAACAATGAAGCAACGCTAACAAGTTAACAGACGTTAAAGTTCATACGTGTCTGTCAAATTTTAACGAACGTAAGTTACGATAGCAAATGGTTTGAAACAACCCACCCTTAGTGTTACAACTAAACTAACACAAGTCCTCTAAGACATTTGTGAATATATGAGTGTGTGAATGGGTGTGTGTGCATGTATTTGAGAGTTAAGAGTTGTTATAAGCGTGCGCTGTGTCTGTGTTCATTTTTGGCAACTCAAAGTCATGCCAAGATACGTAGTAAGGTCTCTGTAGATACGAAATACAATTCAGCTAGCGTAATTTTTATGTGATTTATATCTGGATAGCTCGACTATCTCAAAATTAAACATTTGAAAATAATATTCTATGTTTTTTTAAGAATACTAGAAAATGTTATTGATTTAGGGCTTTTACGCTATACTTATCAATTCAGAATAGAACTTTGGCCGCGGGTATTAAGATAAAAGTAATTTGTCTTTAAGTAGGTCAAACATTTAACGTTCATATGCATATTAAACCTAATTCATTAGCTTCTTTATACAAAAATCAATACAATTAATATGACAATTATTTATACGTCTTTTATCATATATCTAATATACAGGAATGTTTCTATGATTGTACTTTTCTCCTACTTAAAGGTAATTTGACTAGGTACCCGTATAAATTTTATGTATAATGTAATGTAGCATACAACACTAAGGGGCGGATTTTAGATCTATTGCTCTTCCGACTTCATCCAAATGGACACCAATAATAATCACATGTACGTTGTTATTTCCTAGTTAGTTGAAAACTTGTCAAGATTTAAAAGCGGCACAATAGTTCCATGTATTCCTTTTTAAACAAATTTTACATCTTCATTGTTTAGCGGTGTGTCTCTTCGTAATTTTTTTTACTAATTTGACTGAATTACCTTCGCATATAAATAAGAATGAAAATACAAACAGACAACTCAAAGCAAAGTCGTAGAGCCATTTTGAGTGTAGCAAAGAAACTAGAAATATTTTAGCTATACCTTGATCGACAAACCCCAGCTGTAAGGAAGTGAATGATTAACATATTACAGACAATACACCACTGCGCAAGTACACAGGTGTTACTACTGGCTTCTATCATTACAAGTGCGTCCTTATGTGCGTCCGATACATACTGTTTATGTGAAAAACAGCTAAATTCCGCTACTATTACAAGGAAGTGCTTGAATACCTCTATTCCCTAAATTTATCTATTTCACCTAGAACACTTCAATTATTCATAAAAATCTAAAATTCGGTTTTTTTTATTCAATAACAAGTTACTCTTTTAGCAAATATTGGAGCCTGAACTAATAATAGGGAGACCTGTACATCAGAGTACTCCGCACTTCCAACGGTTTAATGAAACTTATACTTGAACTAGCAATTCAGTTTCTTCGTAGTTTAGTGAACAAAGCCACTTGGTACCTAATTAATGTTTTAATTTCGAATAATAGCTTAGGGTAAATATTAACTATCCTATTAAGTTTATTGTACTGGATAGATAAGAAAATTGGCGGGTGAGAATTTGGTTTTACATTGACATATAATACACACTAGATCCTTAATACGCCTTTCCAGAAGTGCTTTGTTAAAGTGCATTAGAGTACCTATGTTTATATCTATTATGGTTCAGTCTTAATAGTTAGTAGTAAATTAAGCGAGATAATTATCTGTTTAATCATAGTATGCTGTATGGTCTAGATCAATTGACGACTATGTCTTAACTATTGGCCATAATCAATTCAAATTGACTAAAAATAATATTTCAATTTGATAGGAGCGTTAGGAGTCAGAACACTTGCCTTTTGAGAAGAATTGTAAGTTACCTGGGTCAAAGGCATGTTTTAAAATAATATAAAAATATAATTTACTGTATTTATTATCACTCGCGTACCACAGTATTATGCTAATTGAATAAATGTAGTTAATGCTAGGCTATGCTAATAATCTGAGAAAGTCTTGCGTTGGCACAAGCCTCTTGGCACGACGCTCTAGAAATAAAACTAAGTAAACCAGAACGGTGATGCCATGGCTCGTTAAAGAATTATGCTATAAGATGGCTTATACGCTAACACGCTCACCCTCTTCTGCACCTAACGTGATTAGAAGATACACGTCTATACTGTCATCTAAGTAGATACAGAATATAACGTTAGAAAATACAATTCTGGGAACTAAAGCGCCGTACAGTTCCTCTCGGTCAGCAGCTGAACATATTGATACATGGTTTCATACATAACAATCAAAGCAATGGAACAGGTGTGATAGCAGGTGTTTGAACTTGCGTAAAGTATCAGACTGCACGGAACGACTGATAAGAATATTGATAAGAACCTTTGCAATCCCTTGAAACAATCTATCACTGTTTATAAGATATCGGTGTTCTATTGAAATAATTACATACCTATGTGTCGCGTAAGCAACGTTAAAGGTGCACATTTTATCAATAAGTTTAGTGAGTTTGGTGGCTGCGTTGCACTGTCCATCATCGTTTTTCCCTATATAATAAACTAGTATTCTGATTTGCTGTCTGCGTTTAATTTTACGATTTACAGGAAGTACCATAATCTGCAGTTACTTTAGGGCAAATATATTTACCCTAAACCATTTATAAAACTCTTCTAAATCAATTGTTTTTAAAGGAAGAACATGAGTTTGGGACTGGTTTCTGTCAAATTGATCTTGTTACCATTTATGAAATGAACTGAGAGTTTTGTTGCACAGTTAAATGGGCTGATTTACCCTAGTCAAACTCATCTTTTTTAACAATTTATACAGGTATTTAACAAAGTTTGGGACTGTTTCCAGTTCCATTGAAATCTTAATTCACACTTTATAGAGGAAGACCAGAAGTTAGGGGACTATTTGCATGCCTGATATGATATATTACGATTTATACAGGAAGCGCAATTTGAGTTTGGGGCTGAATTACCCTGGTCCATATGCTCGTTAAAATAGCAGATGGATTACAGAATTAGTCAGCTTCCCTATTAAAAAATAATGATAAAACCAGTATATTAGCAAGTACATCCTTCGTTTCGACAGTGGCTCCTAGTGCTACAAAAACCGATTGACTATTTTTTAAAACAGAAACCCATATATTTTCATGTTCTCAAGTGTGCCTATTCGTAAGCACACAAAAAACTTGTATTGAAAACAGCTACCCATACACTTGTATGTTCCAAAGAGGTACTAAACACATTCGCACCCAAAACTTTAAAACGAGAATCCCGTATTCTTAGCATGTTCTTGATGAGCAAAGACGAGATCATCTTGTGGAACTCAAGGGGCACCGACCCAGAAGGTGTAACGACAATTGTCATAAAATTGATTTACTGTTCTAACCTTAGGCCGTCTTCTGTCAAGCATGTTAGTTCCTTGCGCGACTATGAACGATCCGAATTTAATGTGACACTTGTTGCACTCACCAAACACAAATCAACATTTTAACACAAGCGAGCCGAGCACTGGGAAAAGATAATCACATAGAGACTTAGACATACGGACGACAAAGCAGACGAAAAATTTTAAGACCACAAAGCATTAGTCAGAACAAAGACAAAGAAAGTGAGCAAAATATTTTTCAAATCGCAATTCTGATATTGGAAACACAAAAGACTTAGATGTTACTTACTTAAAGGTTTTAAAATCTACCGAGGTTAGGTTAAATGCAGTATACACGAAGTCAAGAATTAAAAGTAAGTTAACCAGTGTTGACCATACTTAATATAGATTTCTGCTAAAGATGGCATTAGTCCGCTAACTGTATTTATTATCACTCGCGTACCACAGTATTATGTTAATTGAATAAATGTAGTTAATGCTATGCTATGCTAATTAATGCTGAGAAAGTGCTTGCGTCTGGCAATACTCTCTTGGCGACGATCGCCGCGCTTATAAAACTAAGAAAACCAGAACGAGCGAATGCCTTGGCTCGTTGAAGAATTATTATGAAATTTATACGGTAAAGTCAGCTCTTCTGTAAGTGAAGAAGATAAAGCAACTTGTATGGCCATCAAGTAAATACATAATATAATCATTGAAAATCAATACGCGGAACTCAAAGCGCTACAGTTCCGTCTCGGTCGTTGTATTATATTGATAATAATTTCTAATATATAGCAATGGAACAGGTGGTGAAGCAGGTGTTTGCACTTGCGTAGTATGTGTGCACTGACGCTGATAAGAATATTGATAAGAACCTTTGTAATCCTTAAAGCCCTCTATCATGTTTATAAGATATCGGTGTTCTATTTAATAAGACATACCTATGTGCGCGTAAGCAACGTTACATTTGCAATACTTTATATACGTTTAGTGGATTGGATGACAGCGGCAATGAACATCAAACGTTCTTCCCGTATTAAATAATAAACTAGTATTCTGATTTCTGCTGCGTTTAATTTTCACGTTACGATTTAAGGTTAAGTAGCCGATAATCTGCAGTTACTTTTATTGCAAATATATTTACTAAACCATTTATAAAACTCTTCTAAATCAATTGTTTTTAAATGAAGAACTTTTTTGTCCCTTTCTAACAAATTGTGTTTACGCTATCATGAAATGAGACTGATGAGTTTTGTTGCTACAGTTAAATAGGACTGATTTATAGTCAAACTCATATTTGATTAAGAATGTCATTCATTTATTTAACAAACTTTGCTTTTCCAGTTCTATGGAAATCTTAATTCACCTTTGTAGGGGATTACCAGAAATTAAGTACTATTTGCATGCTGATAAGATATATATCTCGATTACAACGTAGGTATATTAGCGCATATGCTTTTGTTATTATTTAACTGAATTCTGGTCCATATTCTCGTTAAACATAGAGATGGGTTCTTCCCGTCATTCCCTATTAAAATGTCACTGTACAAAGGATTAATAAGTACATATTTCGTTTTTTATATCTTCTATGTACAAAAACCGATTGACTATATTATCAATTTTGCAATCCAATATTTCAGGGTATCAAGTGTGCCTCTTCGTCTGTCGATATAAAAACCTACTTGTATTGATAACATGTTATCAGTCAGGTGTACGCACCAAAAAAGTACCGGATGCACCGCGCCTTAATTACTTGTACTGAATTCACGATATTCTTAGAACATATGCTTATGAGTTAAGAATGAAATCCTATATTGTTGAACTCCATATTGGCACCGACCGCAGAAGGTTTAGTTTCGTTACAAATTGTCATAAAATTAAAAATTAAAGTACCTACTTAATCTAGAGTATTTTCTTTCCATTTTTGAAGTTATACTTCTTTAGGCGCGTTATGAAAAATTTATGAGAGTGAAATTTTACGATTGCGCGCGCACCGTGACACAAAATTATCAGTATGGGCGCCGAGCGTGCGCGAGCGAGATGGGAATAAGACAATCTACAAGTAAAAAGAAATAGAATATGCGTGACGTTAGCAGCTATGCCAAAAATTTTGAATGACCATAATGGCATTTGTAGTACAATGTGTAGTACAAATAAAGGAGTTTTAATTATTTTTCAAAGAAATTTAGCAATGCTTTTTCACAAAGACCTATTGTTACTTAGTTAAAAGGTTATGAAACATACCTAGTTATTAAATTGAATTAATAATATAATAAATAATAATTATTATTAATATTAATTAATAATTGAATAATATACTAAATATTAAATATTGTTAAATTATTAACGCTAAATATTTATTATTAATTATTTAATATTTAAAAAAAATAAAGAAAGCCAAAGAAGTATAACTTCTTACGCGCGTACATAAGTACACGCACCATTTTTTTATACATTGTATCGTTTTACAACTAATCAACTTGTCTCACACCAAAGGCCTCCTTCAAATGTCGACATGTTCAGCTTTCCTTAAGCTTCTTATGTCGTGCTTTGCGTCTCCTTCCAGCCTTAGGGCACCACTCAGTTACCTTCTTTGGCCATTATTCTCCTTTCTTCTCTTACCATGTGTCCTACCTATTGTAATGTTTTACGTGTTATTGGCATACCTTTAATCGTATTTAACCTTATCAATTTTTCGAAACAGACCAGTATTATTGGGCAATCACATTTTTAAATGGTAAAAATTGATCTTGAGTTTAGTGTAGCTTTGACTACAACCACCTGACACTATAGATAATTAATATTGCTACATAAAACTGTTATAGAGATAATAATAACAGTTTTATGTACCATACGTAGTCGTTATTATATAATTTTTTTGTTGACGTAATCAGGATACAACGTCTTACCTATTATAAGATGAAAAACACCATAGTAGGCAAATCAAAGTTTATTTGAGTAATATGCTGATTAAGTTATAAAATATTATACCGCTTAATTAATACAATTGAGCAGTGTTGGGCTAGTGGCTTCAGCGTGTGACTCTCATACCTGAGGTCGTAGATTCGATCCCCGGCTGTGCACCAATGGACTTTCTTTCTATGCACATTTAACATTCGCACTCGCTTGGATTTAAAAATGATCATGAACAAATCTGAGGCCAAGACCTAAAGAGGCAGCGAGGCGGAAGTAGCACCACTGATTTATTAATTTTAATTAATACAATTAATATTTCTTTGAACCGATTACTATATAAGTCATTTCAACCCCCATCACACACTTACATATCACATACATTACACAGTATACTGAATATCAATTCACTCGAATTTCAAAGTATCCTTCTAAGTATTTAACTTGTAGGTATCATCTTATTTAGATAAAGGTATACAATTATAACAAAGTTAATGTTTATAACAAAAATAAATAAATATCAACGGATTATATATAAAAATACGCTTTTCCGAAACTTCAAACAATTTGAAAGTGTTTAATATAAAATCCTCAAAAGCAATCATATACACACAGCAAAATGATAACCGCGAAACCAATATCATTCCTATTGGAAAGGCTTACCAAGAAATTGGATAAGCCACAAGTGACGAAACTCTGAATATTAGATGTAGATTTCAATTTCAATAAGGTTTTAGACTAAGACTACGAAGGACGAACTTTACGATAGCGTTTTGTCTTGTATACGTCAGTACGATACATTTTGTTTTTAACAGCCCAAAATTATCGACTTTCAATGCCATTCGTAAAGTTTACTATGTAGGTATGCTTCTTCTCAGTCGTATTCTTCATTGCTGAAGGTCGTCGCTGTAAGGTGCCTGCTGCCCTGCAAGTCATATCTCTCCACTTTGTTCTGTCAATATCTTCCCTTAGCGCAGCTGTTATGGGGAGACCCGTGAGAATCGTGACTTAGTAACAACAACAGTGGCTTGGCGATCTGCCCCGCCGCCATACCTTCCACCTTGCCGACAACCAGCTTGTCCCGGTTATCTGGTGCGGGCGACTCTTCTATGGCATGTTGTTGAGAACCTCGCAGGTATGCTATTGGAACCGAATTTGGAATTCCAAATTCACCCAAGGAGTGCTTCTTAAATTCCATATACAAAAACTTACCGTTACTTTTCTATCACGAAAGCTACTAGAGCATTTTGTACTGTTCATTCACGTTCGCCTCAGTCCGCACTAAGCTTGACTTTTAAATATTTAAAGGGTATAAAGGGCAACACCGGCATATTTCCCGAGGGCCTGGGGCATGCCCTTTCAAAACTTCGATCCGCTTAAATTGTTATGAGCCATGTATATTCAGGGAATGAGAAAATTGATTAAATTGAATCAATTATTTTTACGGCCTTAATATCAACACGAAAGCTAGAATTGGCAAGTGCAATACTAACACACTCTATCGGTGTGTTGTGGCCTCTGGAATGTCAATCTTCCGTCCAAATCGGACGATTACGGATGCTGCTAGGAGATTAGGGTTTGTCTTGCGAAATTCGGCTGGTCTACGGACACTGCCACTAGGGTGCTTTTCATCATTAGTAAGGCCAATTCTCGAAACCAGCTGCGTCATATGGTCCCTTATGAAAGGTATTATGGGGATAGGATTGAACGAGTTCAAAAAAGTTCCTGAGAAATCTGTATAAAAAAATAAATTTCTTTCCTTACGTCTACCCTACTAAGTTCTTGATGGGGTGTTAGGTTAATTCATTAGAGCTTCGTAGGGATTTTTCGGTGGTCAGGTTTGGTTTGAGTGTAATTAAGATGAAGAAAGCGTTGCTGGGAGAGATCATGAGGCTATGCGTCCCGGACAAATATTGCCGCTGCCGGAAACATAACCTTTTCGCTGTGCGTTCGGTGCGCACTGTCCAGCGACAACAAGCGCCCATTCCCGGCTACTCTCCCTGCTTAATGGGTTTCCTCGACTCTTCACCGGAGAGCGACCTGTTTGGGAAGCTTATGGGGGTGGTATACTGGGCTTTCAGAGTGTACCTGGAGGGGATAAGAGGGTAATGCTACCCTGTATTGTAAATCTTAATTGTATTTTATTGTATTGTTTATTGTTTTTAGTCTAAGTTTGGCTATTGTGCTGTTATTAAATAAATAAATAAATAAATAAATAATCTTCTCTTCCGCCAGCTCGCTTTGAGTTCCTACTGCAACTTCACACCTTACTTGCTTTATTGCAAGCATAGTCACGGGTTACATAACCAAGAGTCGTTTTAAATCGGTAAGTATAGTAACAGATAAAGCAATTCTAACAGATGCAGTGGTGTATCTCCTCTACGTATATGCCCCATTAACATCCCAATGGAGCATGGGGCATCGATGCATACAAAGTGCGACGGTAAATTCCAGTTTAGTTTTTAATACTAGATCTTTACTCGCCTTAAATAGCTTTGTGCATCGAACAATAATTTTTCAAAAAAACCTCTAGTTGTTCCACAGATTAGCGTATGCGACCAAAGACACAAAAGAAAAAGGGGGTAAAAAACATTATATTACACAGAACGCTTAGTTTTATAAATATCTTTACGTCACGCGCAACATTGTCTTTTTTAACATGTTTTTACTTTGTTATCTCAATGGTTACCCTAAGCCCCACTTTAGATAGTGGTCCCGATAACAAATTTACGGGATTGGGCACTGTGACAGAGCTCTTATGTGATACTGGGAATTTCTAGGTTAGTTTGAACAATGTTTTTACTACTTATTATATAATATATATATATATATTATATATAGCAAACGATTCTTCTTCAAATTTAAATTCCGGGTTATTCGCATTAAATAAAATTTAATTCAAGTAAATATTATAATACTTGTTCAAATACATAATTTATTTATTTTCCCACTTTGTCACTCATAAACTTATGAATATTCACAACCACTTTTGTTCATATGACCCCCGGGCCCTATAACATTGGTAAGATAGGTAAGAAGGTAAAATTTCATAGTATGATGTTCCTTTGTTTATTCCCATACCCATAACAGTCCCCGAAACAGAATTATGCTATATGAAATTATGAAGTGCCAAAGCTCATCTTTAAATTTCACTTATTAAGTATATTCAAAAACATACTTATTTTATCACTTACGAGTTTGTCATCGACGATGTTGCGTACGTTCTTATTACAACGATGATATAACAAGCTTCAATACACTGTTTTGTGTTGTATTACCATTGTAATTGGTCGCAGTCGTAGCCATAACACATTATGTTATATAACACTTCCGTAATAAGACGCAAAACCTTTATAATTCGACCGCGTGTTTAGATTTTTTTACTACTCAAATTATTAAGCTCATGAACTTGGGTTGGATAGTCGATATGAAGGGCTAGGGCTACTAATGTTATTTGCAACGACAGACACAGATTTACTTCATTTTTGAAGGTCGTGTTAGGGGCAGCGCACAGCGTCCTCCACTCTCCCCTGTCTGCGGCAAGCCTTGCGCCTGGAGAAGACCTGTAAGGGCCTTTACTTGATCGGTCCAGCGAATAGCACGATAAGTTTTGCTACATTTTTGGATCTCTGCGTGTTAGGGTCTCAGGATGGTAACGAAGTGTCGAAAGACGTGTTTTTTACAGACACAGATAGAGCTTATAAAAAAATACTTTAAAGTTACTAAAAAAATAAGTTTATTATGATAACCAACATATTCTTGAAAATGTGTTACAAAATCTGAACAGAATTGTTTAATGATTATACATACCCTGAAGATTAGCATTACACGATAGTCATTAGTTTTATAAGTGAGCTGCTCTACGACTGGAAGACCGGAGCCATGGCCCATAACTCATGACATGACTTGAGTCCCACAAACTACTTATTTTTCTTTACTCACATCTAAATGTATTGAAATGGGTTTGCCGTGAAAAATGTGGATGTCGTAAAGAATAACTAACGTACTACTTTTGTCTCTGATAATGTCTAAATAATCATTAACTACTTTAGACTTAAACTTAATTTCTAAAAAACAGATAACAGATTAACAAATCTAACATATATATAAAATGAAATGTTTACGTTTGTTGATAAAACTCGAGAATAGCTAGATTGCTAATCGATTTGGCTAATCTTGAAATATTAGTGGAAGTTCAGGGAAGGTTTAAACGGTGGGAAACATATATAATAAAAAAACTACTATAAATAACAATTAAATTTTCCAATAAAAACTGTTTCTAGCTTGGAAATATTTGATGTGATTTTTGTCTTTTTAGAAATAAAAAAAAATCACTTGGTTGTCATTTATGGATACATTCAGAAATTTGTGTGAAAATAAAAATGTGTTAATTCATTTGTCATCAATTCATTATAATGTATAAGATTCGGGAACGCTTTTAAGTAAAAAAATACATGTATCAGGGTTCCCAAAACGTATGAGGTCCGATATCTTTGGTCTGTTTAAAAAATTTAGTACTAAGTTTTGAGACAAATATGAGTAGGTGATACGAAGTTCACCGGGTCATCTAGTGCGTAATAATATTAACATCTTGTCACATTTGTAGTAGACATATGACGTGCTCTATGTGGCATCGTTGACTTTGGTTGCATCAATATAGATATCTAGACCTAAATAAGTAACAAACACGTAGTTGTGTAACGGAAGTGATGCCCTAGTCACCTCGGCCATTGTGAACGAAATACCTATGTTAACAAATGCAACTGCAACAAATGTTTACATATAACGAAACGACGAACGAACGAGTTATGATTTCTCAAAAGTAATAATTATAATTCGTTATTTGTAAAATCGCAATCGCATTTCCCAAACAAGGGCTTGCAAATTTGTCTTAAATGATTTGGTAGAATTTTGAGTAACGTTATCACATAATGCAAACTTCATTACCAAATTAATATAAATTACAATGTACCAAGTTATATTTAAATTTTCTAAGCCTTGAACATATGTATTTAGGTTCTTTACTTATAATTGCATAATTATCGACTTCTATTTATTATATATTATAATCTGTTGTTTGTAGTTTAGTATTAAGTAGTGTGATTCTAAATATTAACGAACAAGTGCGTGCAAGTTTTGTATCTGTGTAAATAAAATTCAATCACAAAATATGTTGCTAAGTGCAAAAGTCGAAGACAGTTCTATTTTTAAATATATGTTGAAAAAATACGCTTAAAAGTGTCATACTGGAAGATATAGAAATCATTGTATGCAACTATTTTTAGTTCACCATTAGTAAAACAGGTTCTGTTTTCCTTATATAGATAACTCTGTAATTTATACCTTTAAGAACCTTCAAGTTATTTTTCCTGTTCTGTTTCCTGGATTTGCAGTGTAATTAATAGGTCCTGGTGTACCTAAGCTAGATGTTAGAAAATACTTTACCCTATTCATAAAATCTAAATGTTTCTAATTGCACTTTTTTGCTAGGGAAATCGTCTTTCTCTTTTCATCAAAGCTTAAACACAATTTGATAGAAAGAGACATAAATTAGATTAATTAAAAGAGTAGGTACTCTCTCTTTTAATTAATCTAATTTCTTATGAACATGGTAAGTGGTTAGATGTATGGATCCATTAATAGTAAGTCTAATCGTCTAAGTCAGTTTTTATTGGATTGGACGAACTGAATTTCGACTGCCTTAACGAACACTTAAAAACGTAACCAGAACATCAAATAATACAAAATTCTTATCTTATACATATTTGGGCTTATCTCCCTTTAAGCTTCACAAAAAACATATGTTTTTAATCAGATTAGCAATTTATCTTCTTCAATTGCAATGCATGTCGCAAATAAGTCAAGTTCTGCGCAAGCCGAGATGCGTGTACGATGTAATTAACAACGTTTATTTACACATGGCAACACAAATCAATGTAAATAGCCAATTTGACATGACACATACTATGTCGACGGTAAAACGAGCAATGCTAAATATAAGTCAGGTTAAAGAAAAAAAAACTGATTTCGATTTAATTACGCACTACAAGCGTGTAGTCAGTGGGTTCTAAAATGAATAAAACAACTTTACGTAGCTACACTTATTTTAATTAAATTTAAGATAGATGTAATATTATAAAAACGGCCATTTAGTTTATAAGGAATTTAAGTTGTACTGTGGTGTAGCTCTTCAGGCTC